CACTTCCAGCTTTTTTCTTTTTGCTTATGTGGTGCTGAGGAATTGAACCCAGGGCCTCATGCATGCAAGGCAAGCACTCTACCACTGAGCCACCTTTCCAGCCCCGCTAGATGCTTTTTTAAATTTAAAAATTATTAATTTCATAAAAACCAAAACAATCCTATATGTCCTCTAAATATTATTACTCCTATATAATGTAAAAATATAGAATAAATTCGAATTGGTGGGAAGCCTTTGATCTGAACATTTCTATTACCAGTAACAGTGTATTCAACATTTATTTGTGGCCAAGAAAATATAGTCCTTTGTTAGAATGAACGTAGGGTTTATCGATGTAACATATAAAAATATTGGGTGCCCACACATTTCGCCAAATAGGCTTTTAGCACAAATATATCCTGTTGCCACTTTTTAACATATACAATAACTTGTCTCTTAAGAAACCACCAGATTTCTCTTAGAGCAGTTGCTTTTTCATTTCTTTGCTATAAAGAGCTCTCTTTAATTTCTCCTACAATACAGTAACATTGTGCTGAAAACCAAATTTGACTCTGTAATGGCTCCTAGTTAGTTGCCTTTCGCCATGCCTAGCGTTAAAGAGGGACTTGTGATGTCTTTTCTGATGTCAGAATTGAAGTGTGGGGCGGGGGCAGACCTAAGAATTGCTAATTTTCCTTAAGTCCACAAAGGTGGGGCTGGAAGTTTACTGAGCAAATACAGTTTCAGTCAGGATAAACTGTACTAGTGGTAAAAAAATTTCAACACTACTTTGGATATAGTGCATTTTTCTCTGAAGATGTAATTAATACTTCCTTTGGCTTCACTCAGTGAGGTAAACAGAGAGCAGCATTCATTTGACAGGAGTAAACCATTCAGGCCTTTTATGATTACAAAGATTTATTGAGCTCTGGCATTATCTAGTGGGGATCATGAAGCATTCTAAAGAGAATCTCATGCTTAGATTCAGTCTACTGGGGTTTAATTCTGATGTTGGGTTTTGTCTTTGCAAAGGATAGTTCTCCAAAATGGTAGGGCATTCAATAGCTCTGGAAGAAACCACAAGTACTCGGAATTTCTCAAGCACTATGGCATGGTAGACCCTCCCCCACTCCTTGCCCCTTCTTTATATACACAAAGGGGGTGATTTTTACTAAAACCTGTTTTCATGATTATTATTTGGGGATATTGGGAATAGGGGATTGAACTCAGGCCTCACCCTTTTGTAGCAGTAGGCACTGTACCACTTGAGCTACATCTCCAGCGCCTTTTAATATTATTTTCAAGGTAGTGTGTGGCTTTTTGCTAACCTGTGATCTTCCTGTTTGTGGCTAGGGATGACAGGCAAGTACCTGTGTGCCCAGCCATGTGTTTTCCCTATAATCAACAGGTATTTTACCACTACCTTTACCATTGGTTGAGACGGGAGTCTCAGGTACTTCTTTTTGTCTAGGCTGGCCTCAAATTCTGATCCCTGGATTTCCAGTTCCTAAGCAACTAAGAATACATACAGGCTTGAACCATCCCACCCAGCTGGACTTTTAATTCTTTTTTAGCTTAGGGAAAATGTGTATTTAGGAAGGTAGTTTAATGGGCTTCCCTATCATATTAAGATACTCAACTTCTCTAACTAGATTGCAGGTGGTTAACAGATAAATTAGAGACTACCATAAACAGAATTGTAGAATTTTTGTTCTTTAATAGGACAAAGTCTGAGTAACAGGTATATAAAATACAAGCATAAAATCAAAGACTGTTCATAAGTTAGAAATACTGCTATAAATGTCTTAATTCACAAGTGTGGAAGGCACTGAACAAAGAAGTTCTTTAAAGATGAATAAAATGTATTACTTCACTTGGAGTTTCTAAGACAAATGGGATCATATAAAACCTACCAATGCTTAATGAGAAGGCAGTGGGACTGATTAAAGAGGGGAAAAAATACAGTGACCCCTCACCTCTTGTGGGAGTTTTGTTCCAGGGAACCCCGTGACAGGGAAAAGTCCGAGAAGCAGCAGCGTGAGATAGTTGTCTTTCACTATATGCAGTTCACATATTGCTACTTTGCGGATTTTCACCAATCGTGGGGGTCTCTGGAGTGTTACTCCCTTGATTGGCGAGGGGTCACTATGTATGTATTCTTTAAAGGGTGAGCAGGATTTGATAAGAAAGTCTCAGAAAGAAGCAAAGACTGTCTTTTTGGAAAGGCTAAAATCTTGATAGTCTCCCTTATAGTTCAAGGTTGGCTTCAAACACAAGATATTCCTGCCTTCACCTGCTGGCACTCCATGTGTGTACATCATCACACAGACCTTGTTTCTCATCAAGTTTCTGGTTTGAAAACAGCAATTGGTTTATCAAAGTAAGGAGACAACAAAATATGGAAAATCAAATAGACTACTATAGTTCATACAAATAAGAATTGATAATGGCCTGAATTAGGGTGATGGCAGGGCAGACATTAAGGAGACAGGCTTTTAGACATTTCAGTCCAAAATTTAGCAACTGTAAGGGAGAGAAAATGGATTTATATACAAACTGGTTGAAAATCAAGTTCTTCCACGCTGGCACAGTGTGTACTTCCATCTAACCATAGTGTTTCCAATATCCTTTTCTTTTTAGGGGATACCACAGAATTCTCCACGCCAGTCGAGATAAAGTTTCTAGACATTACCAAATGCCCAGTGGTGGGTACAGTGATGCCTCAGATAAGCAATACTGGTCTACGTGAGTGGTGGTGACTAACCTCTTCCCAGCTGAGGCGATAGAGTGGCTCTTTTAACAGTGAGCTCAAACCTGAAAGGGCTAAATCATTTCCTGTGAGATGTGGCCAATCTGCAGGACAGTGGATGAAGTCTTTTCTGGAATGTTCGCTGCAGCCTCAGAAATATGGCATGTATCTTCCTCAGTTATATGTTCCCTAACCGTGATTAGGGAATCGTGTAATAGCAAGCTAGTACGTGAAAAGAATGTAGTCTATGCATCATTCAGGGCTAAGTCAACTGTTAAATGGCTATCTCCATCCCTGTATTAGAAGGATTATCTTTGAGTAGTCACCCATATTATGCTTATAGATTAATTTTCTAAATTTAACTATTCTAACTACAAAGCATGGTTAGTGACTTCATAAATTCATTGGAGTTATGTATGTTCTCTGTGTGTGCACGCATGCACACACCCATGCAGTAGTGATGCTTGAATTCAGGGTCTGGGTGCTGTCCCACAGCTTTTTCACTCAAGGCTAGGGTTACACCTACTACCTAAGCCACAGTTCCACTTCTAGCCTTTTTGGATTTGGTGGCTAATTGAAGCTAAGAATCTCATGGACTTCCCTGCGCAGGCTAACTTCAAACCACAATCCTCAGATCTCAGCCTCCTGAGTAGCCAGGATTATAGGCGTGAGCTACCAGCAACTGCCATTTCTCTCTTTTTTTAAAGATGACATATTCAAAATTGAGTACTTTCTCTGTTCCATTTCAATAAGACAAAAACACCATTGTAACAAAATTCAAATGTTTAATTTTTTTCCAAAACTTAACTATACTAAAGAAAATAAATTATATTTAGACCACCTTCAATATTGTACATCATCTTCATACAACTATAACAGTGCTTTCAAAAGACATTTTGTAAAGGATATTTCACAATTAAAATGTGTTTCAAAAATAGGGCAACATTAAACAACAATAGTCTGAAATATGTCTCACCATAATGCTGAGAGGTATACTGGTCTTTGATAAAGAACAATATCTGTACTCAAATTTGTACTTTCATAGCTTTCAGCTGAGGACAATCATTTCTTGTCCATTCCAGTGATTTCTTGGATCCAAAACAAAATCTGTGTATTTATTTCTTTGAAAACATCATTTGTTGACCGTCCCTTCACCGCCATGGAATGATTCGCCTTCTCAATCCAGTGGATTTTGTTGGGAGCTTTCATTTTCTGTGCCACTTTCTCCAACAGATTCTAAAGGGAAAAAGAAAAAGGATACTAGACCAATGCTCTACTGTTTTCATAAAGGGTTTTCTCTCCCTCAGCTATACTGGCACCCACTCAATCACATGCTTGTTAAATACCTACTCCACAGACAACTTTCTAGGCAATAGAATACACAAGGAGGTCTCGACAGAAGTGGCAGCTCCCTTCTCCCAGATATCATAATACCACCAAACAGGCTGAGCACTGATGATTAGCGTTAAAAGGGAATTTGAGCCCGTCAATTTTTTCTCCCCAAACACTGTTTTTCCCAAGAAAATTAGAAGCTGTAAAAAACAGCATTGGGATGACACTAATACATAAATACTGCCAATCCTTTCTTAAGGGTTAATCTGCCTGCATGCTGAACTCACAAACCAAACCTACATTCTAGTAACTTCAAAACCTTCCCAAGGGCTGGGAAGGTGGCTCAGTGGTAGAGCGCTTGCCTTGCATGCCTGAGTCCTGGGTTCGATTCCTCAGCACCACATAAGCAAAAAGAAAAAAGCCGGAAGTGGCGCTGTGGTTCAAGTGGCAGGGCGCTAGCCTTGAGCTGAGGGACAGCGCCCAGGTCCAGAGTTCAGGCCCCATGACTAGACCACCAAAACACACACACACACAGTGTCACATAGTGTCACACACAGTGTCACACACAGTGTCACACACAGTGTCACACACAGTGTCACACACAGTGTCACACACAGTGTCACACACAGTGTCTCACACACACACACACACCATTTCCCAAAGAAAAATTAATGCATTTACTAACTCTCTTTTCCAAAGGTATGAAACTAGTATTAGACAAATTAGCATTTTTTCTGACACTAAATGCTTCCGCTAATCTTGCTCCTATTTCTCTCACTCTTGCATTCAGACTTTTCACACATTTCATCTGCGGAGCCTGACACAAAGAGTACGGGATCTTTTAAACGAAAGAGATCTTCATCTCTGAGTTTTTGCTGCTGCTTGGGATGGTGTAGTGGGTAGGAAATACAAATGAGACCTCTAACAAAATCATTACCATCTTCTGGCTCAATATGACACATTACAGAGGCAGCTGCTCGTGAGCCCATTGAACGACCTAAAATCAATTAAAATCAAGTTCAGTTTGAAATAGAAACAGTCACAAAAAAGAAACTACAATGGTGTGACAAAATTATGAATCTATTTACTGCTATTCATATTTGCTTGCTGAAAAAATCTAATAATTATATTATGAAAAGTTACAAACTGAAACAGCATAAATGATATTTTTAAAAAAGCAATTCTTCTGAAATAATTCTTGGAATCCCCATGAGAATGATTCAAGGACAGAAATAAAAGGAGTGGGCTTTAAGTTACAATACATATTCATCAATGTAAGATTTAAATTTGTTATAAGGATATAAGGTGGGGCTGGGAAGGTGGCTCAGTGGTAGAGCGCTTGCCTTGCATGCATGAGGTCCTGGGTTCGACTCCTCAGCACCACATAAGAAAAAAAGCAGGAAGTGGCGCTGTGGCTCAAGTGGTAGAGCACTAGGTTTGAGCTGAAGAGCTGAGGGACAGCGCCCAGGCCCAGAGTTCAGGCCCCCCCCCAAATATATATAAGATATTTTAACTTCAAGGCGGTTACTTAACAAAAGTATTTAAATTAACTTCCTGTTACCAATTTTAATGTTAAAATGGGTAGTTAACAAGCATTCAAAAGCATTTAAACTTACCTCCCAAGAATACACCTGCAAGTTTGTATTCTCCTGAGGTCTTTAGGTAATTCTAGGTAAATCAACCAAAACAACGTTAAAAAAAATCATTAATTTTTCTCTTAAAAAACATTCCACTGCAAAGTTGTTTCTTACCATTACTAACAGGTATGACAATCTACATAAAAATAACCATAAAAATCTCGAAAGAATTCTTCTTGAAAGTACACAGTGGTCCCTCTTCTGATAACAATTTACTATTAAATTACATCTAAGTGTTGGCAAGTGTGAGAAGAAAAAAAAAAGTCAATTTAGCTGGGTGTTGGTGGCTCACACCTGTAATCCTATGTATTTAGGAGGCTGAAATGTGAGGATTGTGATTTGAAGCCAGCCGGAGTAGGAAAGTCCATGAGATGCTTATCTCCAATAAACCACTCAGAAAAAGGGAGAAGTAGAGCTGTAGCTCAGGTGGTAGAATGTTTGTTAGCCTTGAGCAAAAGAAGCTCAGGGTCAGATGTGTTCAAGGAATAGAAAAAAAAAAAGCCAATTTATCTTTATAAAAACATTCAAGCACTAGCCTTTTGTCATGTGTGTGTGTGTGCACGCGCCTGCGCGTGCGCTGGAACTAAGGCTTGAATTCAGCTCTTTTGCTCAAGGCTAGCTAGCACTCTACCACTTGAGCTAGTTCACTAACAGCTTTTTCTGGCTAATTGGAGATAAGAGTCTCATGAACTTCCTTTCTTGTGCTGGCTTCTAACCCCAATCTTCAGATCTCAGCCTGCTCCTGGATCAGCTTGGATTACAGGTGTGAGCCACTGGCACCTGCCTGGTAAGCACTAACCTATTTTTAAGAAACATATTTTAAAAGAAGGCTAGTAAAAACTTCCAATCTAGGGGCTGGGAAGGTGGCTCAGTGGTAGAGCACTTGCCTTGCATGCATGAGGCCCTAGGTTCGATTCCTCAGCACCACATACGAAAAAAGCCGGAAGTGGCGCTGTGGCTCAAGTGGTAGAGCACTAGGTTTGAGCTGAAGAGCTGAGGGACAGCCCCCAGGCCCAGAGTTCAGGCCCCACGACCGGACCAAAAAAAAAAAAAACTTCCAATCTATACTAAATTTGATTTTAAAAAAAATAGCAGTTAAATACTTCAGAGAAAAAAGAAATTTTAGCCAGGCACTGGTGGCTCACACCTGTAATCCTAGCTACTCAGGAGGCTGAGATCTCAGGATTGTAGTTGAAAGCCAGTCCAGCCAGGCAGCAAAGTCCCTGAGACTCTTATCTCCAATTAACGACCAGAAAATCAAAAGTGGCACAGTGGCTCAAACTGGTAGAACATTAGCCTTGAGCGAAAAAGCTCAAGGATAGTACCCAGGCCCCGAGTTCAAGCCCCACGACCAAAGTGGGGAAAAGAAAAGGAATTGCAGGTTTGAGCTGTATGTAGGGATTATAACCAATGTTTGTAAATGTATAGAAAACAATGTCATATTTGTACATGCACAGTATGTAGTAAGAGTATCAAAACTGTTTCTAAAGTTATTTCAATGAGAAAATCCTAGTAGTTCCCTGAGCAATGTCAGGAGAAACATTTATGATGTGAGAATTCATCTCTATGAACTGATGGCAAAAAAGAGAAATTTGACCATAAAACTGCCTTCAGGTACTGGTGAGTTTCTAAGGACACTCATTTATTTAAGATTTTTTTAAAAATAAAAACAAAATTTGTCTTAAATTACAAAGAATTTTAAAAAGAATCCTGTTGTAAGTGAATATAAAGAAATTTTCTTACCAAAACTGCTTTATATGCTTTAATTCTATGTACAATATTAAGGCCTTTACAGGTAAATCTCAGGCAAAAAAATCCGTGAGTTGCAAGATGAGATGATAGTGACATCAAATGGGGAAGATTCATATCTCCCGATGCCCCATGTGTAAGAATTATCCCATATGCTAAGCTTTTGTTAGGTACCAAGCAGACAGCATCCAGTAATTTATTTCCAAAAGGTATTTTCAATTTAACCTGAAATGAAAGAGAATAAAGGCATTAAATTAAATCTTCCTTGTCTATGTGTTTGTTCTGTGAGCCTTATGATTTAAATCATGGCCTTCAAATAAAAAGACATTGATAATAATTAAACTTAAGAGACTACTGTGTCAGATATTATAAGCAATTTGTTTTTAGTCTTTAAGGTCTTATAATTCTATGATTCAAGTGCTATTATGATGCTGATTTTATAAAAAAAATACAGCAGAGGTTAAGTGACTCGCCCAGGTTACATAGCTAGAATTCAGTCAGTCTGTTCCAGAGGACTTCGTTTTGTGTATGCCAGTCCTGGAACTTGAACTCAGGGCCTATGTACTGTCCCTGAGCTTTTCTGTTCAAGGCTAGGGCTCTACCACTTAAGCCAAAGCTCACCTCCAGCTTTTTGGTGGATATTTGTAGACAAGAATCTCATGGACTTTCCTGCTGGCTTCCAACCTTGATCCTCAGATCTCAGCCACCTGAGTAGCTAGGATTACAGGCATGAGCCTCTGGCGTAAGGCCCAGAATCCTTATCTTAAATATGAATGCTATACTGCCACCAACAGTCCAAGTTGAAAGTAATCACTCTAAAGTCACATCATTACAAGAAAGAAAGAAGCCCAAAGATAAATATTTGAAAGTATTACCTCTGTATGACTCATTTTCACTCTTGAATTAACTTAAGGTGCATTACATCTGGGAAGCAAAGGACATCTCCCTAAAAGAAGATTGTGTTGTGAAAAGTGAAATGAGTTGTCAGACATGGGCATGACACAAAAACTAAGAATAAAACCACACTAAGTAGCTGAAATAAACACATTAGAAGTAGTTCCCTAAAAATGGATGTCTTTCTATACAAGCCTTTGTTTGATATACACAGAAATGTTACCTAAGATAGAGCAAACATGACATAGAAGCCTTAAAATAGTTCAAAGCAGGATGCTAAAACAAATTATAAAAACATTTTCGTGAACATCTCCAATCTCAACCAGTTTCTGCTTAATTTCTTGGCACCTCTATTGATTTTCTCCTTTATTACCATTGTCTATCCTTTCCTGTAGAGGCATGTGACTCTGCAGTGCCTCCTGGGAAGCATGGCATGCATCTTCTTGCTATTGGTTGTGTGAACTGCTTTTACTAATAGAATCTAGGCAGAAGTTTCACTGTGCCTCTTCTGAGTTGAGACAAGGCAAATTCATATAAGCCCTTTAATACTTTCACCCTGAGCCATGAGAAAAGCATGTACTTTTGCATTTTCAACGTGGGTCTCAGAAGATAATATTTACCAGATTTGAAGACCCCCAAAATAACTGGAGTCTAGACTAGTGGACCCATAACTTAGGCCACAGCTGACCTAAGGACAACGTGCACAAAATGTACTATCTCTTTATGAGAACTTTTATTTTTCAGATTATCAATATCAGAATCTCCACTATTCATTCATTTGCCCCATTGAAATACATCTCTTCACTACTAGGCAACAACAAATGGTTCAAATGTCAAAATATACTAACAATATAGAGAAAAAGACATTCCACGTTGGCCACTCAAAACCCCTCTCCCAAATATTATCTCAATATTGCTAACTTATGTATCCGTTCAGGCAGCACTAGAAAATTAAAATTATTTTCACTGGGGTGTAAGTATAAGGCAAACTCCTAGGAGAATTGCTTTGTCAAACTCTGTTCATAATTTCTTAAAATACATTTGATTTTTAAATAGGTAATATATGTACCTGCCACAATTTATTTTTGCCAGTCCTGGGCCCTGAACTCTGGGCCTGGGAACTGTCCCTAAGCTCTTTCTGCTCAAGGCTAGCACTATCATTTGGCTACGGCACTTCTTGCTTTTTATGTGATTAAGCCCTACCAGGGCTAGCGATCCCCAGATCTCAGCCCCAACTAGCTAGGATTACAGGTGTGAGCAACCAGCACCAGCTAACACAATTTTTTTTAAAAAGTAAATAATGTCTTTTCACTCTTCTCCCAGAAACCCAATTATTTTCCAGAAGCAATGGCTATGACCAACTGTGCATCCTCATTTAACCTTCTTTCAACAACAATTGTCCATTCTATGTGAGCCTGGAAAGTATTAGTCTGGTTGCACAAGTGAACAACAAAAGGGGATTAAAAAAAATGCAGGCTTCTGACTCCTTCCCACAACGTACCCATATAATTTACTATGCCTTGCATCCATCAGTTCAAAATCTTCTCCGTTACTTTCTCAATATAAGCCAGTCATCCAAGAGTGAAATAGGGAAAGAGATCTAAAAAATTGCTTCTTAAACAGATTTCACCTCACTTTTATTCAAGCCTCCCACCTCCATGCTGCCACTACCTCATTCCCAGCTGCAAAGGTGTGCAGTGACTCTGTGCATTTTGAAGAATGTTTTATGCTTTATGGAGAATTGCTTCATAGCATTCCTGCCAACAGGTTTAGAATTATGTTAACGTCTGCTAAGTCAGTTACTTTCTAGAGTTCATCATTTGATTGCATTTCCCAGTTTAGCACACACTCCACCCTGTAGGCTTGTCTTTAAAAATGTCTGGGTGGTTCATGCCTGTAATTCCAGCTACTCAGGAGACATCTGAAGCCACACAGGGAAGGAAAATCCATTGTTCTTAAACTCTGGGCCTGGGTGTTATACCCAAGCTTTTGTGCTCAAGGCTAGAGCAATACCACTTAAGCCACAGCTCCACTTCCGGCTTTGGGGGGTTAATTGAAGAGGGTAAATGTCTCAGATTTTTCCTGCCCAGACCAGCTTCATGTCGACAGCCATTCTCAGATCTCAGCCTTCTCAGTACCTCGGATGCTAAGGTTACAGGAGTGAGCCACCAGAGTGCAGTCTGTGAGACTCATCCCCAAATAACTAGCAAAAAGCAGGAAATGGAGCTGTGGCTCTACTGGTAGCAGTGGATAAAGCCAAGTGATTAGGCCCCACCAAAGTTCAAGCCCCGGTACCCGCGCACACAAAAATGTTTCCAATCACTATCTTAAACCAGAACCTTCTTGGCTTTCTCTCCACGCAGGTTTGGTTCCGGTGGTGGTCTTCTAAACTCTCCTCCAGATTGTGATGAATAACTTGTTCTTCACAATTGGTACCCGTGTCCTGGCCTACTTCACAGGCACAGTGACCTGTCCCAGGACAGGCTCACCCCAAAGCACCCTGCTCTGGGGTTTAATCTCGGCTGGTGTACTCAGAAAAGCGGGGGTTTGGGGCAGGGCACTGCCCACACCACGCAGGGGTGCAGGGGAAGAGGGGTGGGGGCAGAAACCGGTGGAGGAGACGGGAGGGGCGCAGACTTTGGGGGAGCTAGGAGAGGGGTGCTTAGGGGGGGCTTGGGCAATAAAATGATCATTGATATGGGTCCCTTATTTAAAGTGGTAATTGATAGGCGTGTCCTATTTAGTATAAAGTGACCACGTTGAGGCGCCCGATTAGTGGTTATTGATCATCGATGGGCACCTGATTAATAGATATTCATCATCCAGGGGACACCCGATTAGTGGTTACTGATCGATAAGGCGCCTGATCAGTGGTTATTGATCATCCATGGGGGCCCGAATAGTGGTTACTGATCATCGATGGGGCGCCTGATTATTATTGATCAACCACGGAGGACCCGATTAGTGGTTATTGATCATCCACGGGGTGCCTAGTTGTAAATGATCATCGGTGGGGGCGCCCGACGTGGCGGGCCGACAGCTGACTTCTGTCTCGGGGTACGCGACCCCATCTTCCGCCACCGGCTCCACGCGCCGCTCCGGGCCCCGGCCTGACCAGGCTACCAGGGCCAAGCACGCCGGGCCGAGCCTTCCGGGTGGCGGGGGGTGGGGGAGTCCCCGCCAGGACCGGGGCTCGAC